GCTGCAGACTGTGAAATGTCTTACGATCTCTGGCCAATCAGAGCATTGCCACGGGTTACCATGACAATGCTCTGGCTTCTGGAGATCGCAAGACTCCTATCACTTTGTCTGCAGCTCTGCACCTGGTGGAGTTGCAGACCACATAGGAAGGCCACTGGACCACAAGGGAGAGTCACAGCCCACTGGACCGCTAAGGAAAAAACAAGTTATTTGTTAACCCTCTCCCTTATTCTGTCACCCCTCTCTTACTCTGTCACCCCCTCCCTCACTCTGTCATCCCGCTCCCACACTGTCACCCCCTCTCACACTCTGTCAACCCATCTCTCACTATGTCACTCCCTCCCACACTCTGTTACCACCCTCTAACACTCAGTCACCCCTCCCTCAATCTGTCATCCCCTCCCTCACTTTATCATTCCTCTCTCAAACTGTCAACCCCTCCCTCACTCTGCCACCCCTCCCTTATTTTGCCACCCCCTCCCTCACTCTGTCACCCCTACCACACTTTGTCACCCCCTCGACACTCTGTCACCTCATCCCTCACTCTGACACCCTCTCCCACTCTGTCATTTCCTACCTCACTCTGTCACCTATTACCCCCTCTCACACTCTGTCACCCCATCCCTCACTCTGTTACCTGTCCCTCCTCCCACACTCTGTTACCCACCATCCACACTCTGTCACCCCCTCCCTCACTCTTAGAAATGGGTGATAGATTGAGGGAGGAGCTGACAGAGTGAGTGATGGGGTGACACAGTGAGGGAGAAGTGACAGAGTGAGGGAGGGGGGTGGCAGAGTAAGGGAGAGGGTTGTAACGTTCACTAGGGAACCCTAATATGCAGACAGGACAGAGTAGAGAGATTTGCAATACAGATCCTTAGAATGGTCGGATTATGCAAAAAGGGATAGTCAAAACACGAGCCAAGATCAAGGGAAACAGAGAGACAGAATAACGAAAGACAAAGCCAAATATCAGTAACCAGGAAATCCAAATAACAAGTGCAACACTCAATGGTAAACCAAAGACCACAACAGGGCACTGAGGTAAGGGAGGGGTAAGCTTTTATACACACAGGATGTGTCTGATTGGTTAACCTCCAATTAGTGTTAACCACAACCCGTGGGAGGAGTTTCTTCCCTCCCTTGTGGTTTCTGAGGTCATCACTGTTTGCCGGGTCACATGACCAGGTGCAGCACACATATAAGGAAGCTGCTCTTGAGCGTGCAGCATCAGACACACTGCCAGTCTGGAGACAAGGACCAGATGACGCAGTTCACAGGGGACCTGACAAAGGTGGCTTGAGGCAAAGTGAGGGAGGGGTGACAGATTGTGGGATGGGGTGACAGAGTAAGTGTTGGGTGACAGATTGTGTGAGGGGGTGACTTGAGGCAGATTGAGGTAAGGTGGTAATAGAGTGAGGGAGGGGGTGACACAGTGAGAGATGAGGTGACAGGGTGTGGGAGGGGGTGACAGACTGTGGGGGAGTAACATAGTGAGGGACGGGGTAATAAGTGGCAGAGTGAGGGAGGGAGTGACAGTTTGCCAGCTCCTCCCTCAATCTGTCACCCCTTTCTCAAACTGTCACTCCCTCCCTCACTCTGCCACTTATTACCCCGTCCCTCACTCTGTTAGTCCCCCACAGTCTGTCACCCCCTCCCACACTCTATCACCTCATCTCTCACTGTGTCACCCCCTCCCTCACTCTATTACCACCTTACCTCAATCTGCCTCAAGTCACCCCTAACACTAATTGGAGGTTAGCCAATCAGACACACCCTGTGTGTATAAAAGCTAACCACTCCCTTGCCTCAGTGCCCTGTTGTGGTCTTTGGTTTACCATTTAGCGGTGCACTTGTTGTTTGGATTTCCTGGTTACTGATATTTGGCTTTGTCTTTCGTTATTCCGTCTCTCTGTTTTCCTTGATCTTGGCTTGTGTTTTGACTTTCCCTTTTTGCATAATCCAACCATTCTAAGGATCGGTATTGCAAATCTCTCTACTCTGTCTGCATGATAGGGTTGCCTAGTGAACATTACAACCCTCTCCCTCACTCTGCCACCCCCTCCCTCACTCTGTCACTCCTCCCTCACTCTGTTACCCCATCACTCACTTTGTCACCCCTTCCCACAATCTGGCACCTCTTCCTCATTATGTTACCACCCTCCCTTACTCTGCCTCCTGTCACCCCTTTCCCCATTCTGCCACTCCCTCCTTCATTCTGTCACCACCCTCTCACTCTGTCATCCCTTCCCACACTCTCTCACCCCCTCCCACATTATGTCATCCCATCACTTACTCTGTCACCCTATCTCACAATCTGTCACCCCCTCACTCAGTCACCCATCTCCCCCTCTCTTACTCTGTTACTCCCTTCCCTTACTCTGCCTCCTGTCACCCACTCTGCCACTTCCTCCTTCACTCTGTCAACACTCCCTCACTCTGTCATCCCTTCCCACACTCTGTCACTCTGTCACCCCCTCTCACACTCTGTCACCCCCTCCCACATTCTGTCACCCCATCACTCTGTCACCCTATCTCCCAATCTGTCACCCTCTCACTCAGTCACCCATCTCCCCCTCTCTCACTCTCTTACCCCTCTCCCTCCCTCTGCCTCCTGTCACCCCCTCACTCACTCTATCACCCCATCCCTCACTCTGTCACCTGTCATCCCCCTTCCACACTCTATTACCCACCTCCCACACACTGTGACCTGTCACCCCCTTTCTCACTCTATCACCCCTCCCTCAAACTGTCACCCCTCCTTCCCTCTGTTACCCCTCCCACACTCTGTCACCGCATCCCTCACTCTGTCACCCCCTCCCACACTGTCACCCCCTCCCTCATTCTGTCACCCCTCTGTCACTGTGTCACTTGTCACCCCCTCCCTCACCCTGTCATACACTGTCATCCCCCTCCACACACATTGTCACTACCCCCACAAAACTGTCACACAACTGTCACCAGCTCCCATACACAGTGTCACCATCCAAAACACTGTCACCCTCTTAACCCTGCCACATTCACATTAACCCTTCCTTATTCTGTCACACTCACCCCCTCCAACCAATCCACACTCATCTCCCCTCGCTCTGCCACACTCACCCTATCACATTAACCCACCTAATCCTGACACACTCACCTTTTCTCATACTGTCACATTCGCCTCCCAACCCTGTCACATTAAGTTCTCTAATCCTCTCACACTTATCCCACACTCATCTCTCCTGCCATGCCATTCTCACCCACTCTAATCCTGTCATGCTTACCTCCTCTCTTAATGTATACATGACTATCAGGCTATACAACTATACCCTGCAATCGTGTAAAAAGGATTTGCATCATTGCAAATTACATTTGGTTATTGCAAATTATGCAGTAACTACAATGCAGCAACATAAGGAGCCACAACAATGCAAGCATCTGAACAATGTATCCAGACATCCCAATATCCAAAAACCAATTTCAGAGAGGTGGTCACCTAATTTCAGGGAGGCAGCTTCACATGCTACTTGGAGGGTGGACTTTACAGACATAGTGAGAGTGACACAGCGTGTGTCCTGATTGGTCTCTCTTTGAAACATCAGGACACACACTGTGTCATTCTCTCACTACGTCTGTCACTTGGTTTTTCCAGAGCCCAGTGTCAATCTGATGTGGCATGGATGAATCCAGAGCCCAATCTCGGGTGGGTCACTGGTAGTGGGCTGTAGTGGGGTGATAGAGACTGTAATTTAGGAGTTAGGAGCTCTAATAGAGGGATAGGGGCCATAGTGTGGGTATGAGTTATAATGGGGGGTTAGGAAATGTAGTGGGGGGAAAAGGGCAGTATTAGGAGGTTTAGGTGTTAAGTAGGTGGATTGCTGCAATTGGGGAAAGAGGCTGTAGTTCGGATGATATGGGACTTTAGTGGGAGGTAAGGAATGTAATCAGGGAATGGGGTGCAAAAGGGGCAATAATGGGGATATAGGGTGTAAAAGAGGAGTTAGGGGCTGTAGTTGGGGGTATGCACTGCAAGTGGAGGGAATAGAGATCCATGAGGTCCAGTACGGCGCTCTTTCAGCATGAGCGTTGGGTAGTCATGTGACACCCGATGTTCCTACATAGAGCTGGAGGAGGGGAGGTGCTTCCTGCTATTACAGTGCAGTTCCCTTATGGAGCTGCACTGTAAAATTCCGTAAATCATTTTTTTTAGTGTTAGAGTTCTCGCTCTTAAAATAAAGCTAGATTTCCGAGATATTATATAGATTCTGCGGGAGCCATAATTAAAATGTGGTAGACTCCCAGAATGCCTGGGAGAGTTGGAATGTCTGTTTATCCAACGCTGTAAGCCAACCCTTCAATATATTTACACAAAGCAATCCTTTTTTTCACTAATTGTTGAGTTTCGCCTAATGCCTCGCAAAGTCTAGAGCTACCACTGTGTATGGCTTGTGCTGGCTCTGTCCCTGATCTGCCTCCTTGACAGTCTCAGCCAATCCAATGCTTTCCTATGTGAAACCATTTTAATTGACTCAGAACCCCACTTCTGATGATGTCAGCCAAACAAGCAGGTCAGGGGCAGAGCCAGCAGCAACAAACAGAAATAAAAGTAAGATTGTGCTATATTTAAGGGGGCAAGTGGGTGACAGGGGGGCTTAATAGTTTTTTTTTTTAACACTGTAGAGTCAGGAAGTCCAGTGAATCAAGATCATGTGATCACGTCATTTCTCCTCTTCATTTCTATGGAAGCGTATAAACATGAATGGGGAATAATTAAATGTTGCTACATCAATGATTTACTTACGCTTTCAAGATTTTTCAAAGTGCTTTATCATACACATTAAAAGTACTTAAATATGTATGATGCAAACAAAACTTAGATAAGTTTATTAAATAGAAAAAAGATAAAAAGGGAACATATCTAAATGTTTGTAAAAGTTCAACAAAACAATTTCCACATTTAAAAAAATCTCTTTACTTGTATTTATGTATGTATGTAAATAGATACACACACACAGATAGAGAGATAGATAGAGGGATATATATATATATATATATATATATTGTAACGGACCACCTGGCACCCCGACTGGGCACCTCCGTCAACGGATGCTCCTAGTGCTCACCAAGTACCATCAGCAATGCACCGGACACCATAAGTACTGCAGGCCCCACGAACCGCCAAAGCTTGGTTGGGATCTCGCCATCTTCAATCCACCCTGGAACCACCTCTGACATCCAGGACCATGTGGAGAAGACCTCTCCTGTAGGAGAGCGTAACAGGAACAGCTCTTAAAATAGCTAAGTGATTAGAGCCCTGGGGAGTATACAGAGTATATAGTATATCCCCAGTGTGATTATAGCAGTTTCCCCCAATAAGAGACAGAACTTAGTATTGAGGTTGAAGTAAGACAGAATGGGACAAGTTGGCTTTATATACAGTTCCTCAGACCAGAGGCACACCCCCTGGACCTGATGGAGCACCACATTACAAACTGTACAGACCAATAAGAACAATATAACAATGTCCGACACTCCCACATACAGTAAAACATACAATACTGGAGGGCTTAATGTAAGGAGCTCTATAGGGGCAAAAATAGAGTTATTAATAAGTTATATAAATTTCAAAATATTTATTGAATACTAGCTACCACACTTCAAAGTGATCCCTTCACCACATATAAAGTATTGAAAATATAATATTGAGAAGTGGAGCGATATCAAACTGCAATACACCCTGTCAAATTGAAAAGATACTTATATTTCTTGCTGAATGGTAT